TTTCACCTTCGGGGGTGCTGGGGCTTGGGGAAGGTGTGGGGGTCTCACCTGTTGTTTTTTTTCCACTTGTTGGGGTCTCCTGGCATCTCAGGACACGCCCCACCCTCCAGGAGGACACCAGCTGGTGATAGTAAGACCAGGAGGGACCGCACACATGGGTGTGGTTGACCTCTTCCAACACTTCCACGTCAGGGTAACACTCACACAGTCTGGATTTCGGGCTGCTTTGAAAAATAAAAAAGCCTTCAGTCTCACGTGGCAGGAAGTGCCGATGCAGAGTGGCGGTGCCCTGTGGGACGGGGTGTGGGCTCCCCGCTTGTCCCCTCTCCACTCGCTGAGGCCAGGCGCCTGAGTTCTCTGACGTGCTTGTGTTTACTCTGGAGGAGTGACCCTGTGGCCGGGAAGCAGGTGGCTGAGGGCTGGGAGCTGCCCCAGAGGCCGTGAGTGCCCTGTACTGAGGCAGGTGCCAGGGGGCAGATGGCCCCTTGTAAAACGCCGCCCTACGGGCACCTGAAGTAGCATTGGGAGTGGACTCGGTCTTGGGGATCCTTCCAGCCCTGAGGAAGGATGCTTCTGAGACCTTTATTGACACTCCCCAGTACCCTAGACTGCACACTCCAGTCTCTTCCCTCCCATCCATCTTTTCTCCTTTCCTTTTTATTGCAACACTAGAGGCCCAGTGCACGACTTTTGTGCACTTGGGGGGGGGGTGTCCCTCAGCCCAGCCTGCGCCCTTTGGCAGCCCGGGAACCCTCAGAGGACATCCAACTGACAGCTTAGCACTGCCACTTTGGCGGGAGAGGCTCTCACCACCACTGCTGCACTCGCCAGCCGTCAGCCCGGCTTGTGGCTGGGGGCACTACCCCTGTGGGAGCACACTGACCACCAGGGGGCAGCTCCTGCATTGGTGTCTGCCCCCTGGTGGTCAGTGCGCATCATAGCAATCGGTTGTTCTGCAGTTTGGTCGATTTGCATTTAGCCTTTTATTATATAGGATACGAGCAAACAAGTGTGCAGCTTCATTCATTTTCTCAGTGAACACGTGCATGTGTAGCCCAATCAGGAAACGAAGCATGACCAGCCCCCGGAAGGCTCCCTCTTGCCCCCACCTGCAAGGACACTATCCCGACTTCTAACCCTGAGATCGCTTTGTCTCCTTTGGAACTTTTTATCGGTAGAATCAGTGTTGCCCTTCGTTCGCTCAGCCTGAACCCGTGAGACCTGTCTGTGTTGCCGTCATTTCCTCAGCGTCGCAGTTTACTTGGTGCTTAGAGATGAGCTTTGGCCACCTGCCCTATCACACGGTCCCAGGCCTCTGCCACCGGCCATGGTCTCTTTGCCTCCCTGCAACCACCCCCTGAGCAAGTGGTTCTGCCCACACTTCACAGATGAGGAGACTGAGGCTCTGAGAGGACCCCAGCTTGCCAAGCTCTCCCAGAGAGTCAAGGTAGGGCCCCCACACTTAGGCCAGAATTATGCTCTGTGTCTTAGATGCCCTGGAGTCCTGCCAACATGAGTGGCCCCGCACGTCGGTGCGTCCCTGACTGCCCAGAATGATCTAGGGCAGTGATGGCGAACCTTTTGAGCTCGGCGTGCCAGCATTTTGAAAAACCCTAACTTAATTCTGGTGCCGTGTCACATATAGAAATTTTTTGATATTTGCAACCAGAGTAAAACAAAGACTTACATTTTTGATATTTATTTTATATATTTAAATGCCATTTAACAAAGAAAAATCAACCAAAAAAATGAGTTCGCGTGTCACCTCTTACACGCGTGTCATAGGTTCGCCATCACTGCCCTAGATCATCACTGATCTAGGGTGAGACAACAGGAAGAACTTGAGGGAGAACCCCTGCTCCTCCACCCCCACAGCCTGTCTGCAGACAGAAAATGAACAGGGCGCGCTTATCTGTGCCCGGGGGCAAAGTCCTGGTCAGTGTGGAGACACGTTCACTGGTGAGGGCTGGGCAAACAGGATGGAGGCCAAGTTCTAGCCCGGTTACCTCCAACCCCGTCACCTTGGGACTGTTTCTGAGCCCCTCTGAGCCTTGGTGCCCCCCTCTGTGCAGGGCGTGAGGGGCTGCGCCTTTCACAGGGACTTGCCGGCGGAGCACACAGGGAAGTGTGGGACGGGACCAGGTTTATGGCTGCTTCCTCCGTGCCAGGCGCTGGGCTGCGGACTCCAGAGCCAGAAGGTGTAGGATCACATTCCAGCCCCACCGCTTATAGCTGTGCGTCCGCAGGCAGGTGTCTGAACCTTCCTGGGCCCCGGGGTCCCCGTGTCCACCTTTAAAGGCGATGAGAACAGCCAGCACCTGCCATAGTCTAATGGCTGGAGGGGCTGGGGACAGGCCAGGCAGTTGTGGTGCCGTCTGCGGACCTCAGGAAGGAGGCCCCCTGAGAGCCGGCACTGTCGTGACTGTCGCTAACACAGCCACAATCTAATCAGTGCCCCGCGGCCTGACATCGTGTGTCTTGTCTCCCAGGAAATGAGTAATAACCGTGGTCATGCCCCAATTACCGGCTCCCGGAGGTCAGCTCTCCGGTGGCCCATCGTGCCTGCATTGGGGTGTTAAGGGGACTCCAGGCCAGGAGTGGTCAGTGTTTGCCCAGCAGTGAGAGGCGGAAATGCCAGCTGACCAGGCGCCCTGCGCACGGCCGGGGGGAGTTTGTTCAGTCCTTCCATTCACAAGGATCTGTGGGCCCTGCCCTATGGGCACTGGCCTGGGCTCTGGGGCCACAGCAAGAAGGTGGCGGACACAGGCTTGGGCCCTGTGGGAGCTGGCGTCCGGCGGGCATCTGGACAGTGACCGGGAAGGGTGCGGTGTGTGATGTGCTGCAGGAGGAAGTGTGTGCAGAGAAATAAAGCAGGAGGAGGGCTTGTAGGGCTGCCGGCTCAGCCTCCTCCCCGGGCCTCCGGGGCCTCCTGCCGATGGTGTGGCCTCCAGAATCCTAGATGGAGTCGCCTGTGCCTCCCCAGAGCCCCACTGGCTGCTTGGACTCGGCGTGTCCACAGCCGGCACAGGTGTACACACTGCCATAAAGTGGCCGTTGGCACAAGATGCCAGCCTGTCCCCGAGATGGTGCCTCCCTCCAGGGGTCCGGCCCGCCCGTCCATGGAGGAGGCCCCAGCTCCAGCCTCTCCTGCTCCTTTCAGAGCCACCAGGACATGTGGCTCACTGCACAGCTGCCGGCCTTCAGCCACCAGGACAGGTGGCCTCCCGGATGGCTCCAGGGCCACCCCCCGCGTGCAGTCACGTGTCTGCAGTGTGGCGGAGTGTGTGGTCTCCCCCAGCAAGCCGGCTCCCTTCCTAGCGCCACTGCCTGCCATGGCCACCTCCACCCCCAGCTGCCACCAGCAGCCATGCCTCTGCCACGCCCACTCCCAGACAGGGCGGAGCCTGCCCCTCCCCCAGCTCCAGCCCCGTCCTGCTGCCCCTTGGGTGGTCCTCGCACACAGGTGGATGGGGTTTCTGGAAGCAGCCTCTCCTGCTGGACCTCCCTCAGGGCCCTGCTGCCTGGGGGCGTCAGGACTGCTCCCCACGCCTGCAGACAGGCTGTCTCTGGCCCTGCCGACCCCCTGCTCCATCCAGACCTCTCCCACCCATCGCCGCAGCCAAGGGCCCGGCTTGTGTGGCAGGAACTGGCTGTGCCCCCTCCTGGCCCTTCGCTCCCTCTTCACTTGTCCCTCCCCTCCTTCTTCTCTCCCAGGAGCCTTCAGAATCTGTAAAATGAGTTTATTAATCGTGCTCACCTCAGGGGGGCCTTAGAGTGTCTGGAACAGCGCAGCACGGAAGGAGGCTGTGCACAGCCTCAGCGAGGACACAGTGACGTGCACGTGGCCATGTACTGAGTGCCCGCTGAGTGCCAGCCCCGGGCTCGGGGTTCAGGTTCTGACGAGGCACGTCCCCTGCCCTCAGGGAGCCGCGGTGCCCTCTGGAACATTCTCCTCCCTCTCCACACTCCCCGCCGCCCCTGGAGGGTTCTGTTCGTCCTCCCGGGGTCACCCAGGAGGAGCAGCGTGCCCCTCACCCACGGCGACTCCTGCTGCCTCTTACACTTTCCGAGGGTGCTGCCCCCTGCTCTCTGTGGCCTGGTTCTCATGCGGTTCCTCCAGGGTCCATGCCACCGGGTCAATGGCCACTCCACCCGCTCAGGGCTCTGGCCTCGTTCATCCCCTTCTCCTCTCACCCACCCCCAAGTTCCACTCCGTCAGCAAACCCTGTGGGCTCCACCTTCAGCCAGACCTAGGCCCCAGCCCCTGTCCCCAGTCCTTCCCCACAGCCCTGTGCGAGCCCCGCACCTGCTGCCCGGACCAGCCCGGCGGCCTCCTCACTGGGCCCTGCTTCTGCCCTGGGCCACACAGCCAGAGGGATGGTTTGGAAAGTCTCACAGTGTCATGTCTCTGCTCAGACCTTCCAGTAACTTCTCTTCTCACTCAAATATTTGTCAAAGGGAAGAAGGAAGAAAGGAATGAGTGAGTGAATGGCCTTGTTCGCATCTGTAGTACCTGGCACAGAGTAGGTGCTCAGAAAACACCTGCAACAAGGACACACAGGACATGGGTGAATGGGCGAGGACCTGGAGCACACAGTAGGTACGCAGGAGCCTGGTGGGCTCCGTTGGCTGAGTTCCTGATTCTCGCTCCTGGTTTTGCTCCAGCAGAGCCCGCATGCCGCCAGCCCTCCCATCACTGGCTGGGCGGGAGGAGGGGCAGGCAGGCGGAGCTCACGCCATCTGGGGCCCTGGCCTGGCCCGTCTCACTGTCCTGGGTGGGGCTGTTGACACGGGCTGCTGGTTCTGGGAATCCCGGCCTGTCAGCAGTTATGGGAAGGCTGCTGCCTCAGGGAGAAGTGTGTTCCTGGCCCCCTGCCATACCGCCCGCTGTCCCCGAGGCCGGAGGAAGCTCCAGGCTGGCCTAAGACTGTGGAGTTTTAGGGACCAGTGGCTCCCCAGGGAGGGCCCTGCAGCCTGAGTGTCGCTGGCTTCCTCCACAGGCCTCTTGTCCTGGGACAAGCTGCATCCTGTCTGCCGATCCAGCCCCTTCGCGCTGGTTTGTGGTCAGGAGTGAGGAGAGGAGCAAGGGGCCCGCACACCCTCTGGGCTCAGGAAGAGCCTGCTCGGTCACTTCCGGACGGTGCTGGCTGCTGACATTTCAGGACCTGCCACTCACCTGCCCCAGATAAATGTGAGTTAGATGGGCTTCTCCGCCAGGGCGCTTCCCTCTGAGCCGGCTCAGGCTGGCGTTCCAACCCAGCTCTGTGACCACAAGCGGTGCTCTCACCTCTCTGTGCCTCAGTTTCCTCATCTGTAAAGTGGGGTTTTAATGGCACCAACTTCATAGAATTGTGAGAACCAAGTTGGTTAATTAATACATTGTAAGCACTGAGAACAATACCGGGCACATGGTAAACATTATGAATGCGTAGCCATTGTTATGCACAAAAGCTTGGTAGAGACCCATGTCTAAAGGTAGATGACTGAATTTGTTATTGCTGAAGGTTAGCCAACCACTCATTTCATAGCTGTTTATTGAGCACATACGGGGCCCGTATCAGGCCCTGTTTAGGCCCTGGGGACACGGCCATGCCCCGGCAGACCACAGCCCGGCCTCATGGGCTCGCGTTCTCCTGTACATGTGAAGACAAAGGGATCATTGAAGCGTCACAGGCCATCTTCTACGCTCCGCACGGCAGGACCCAGCAGCAGCATGAGGGGCTATTTCATGTTGTGGCAACACCGGATGCTTCCTCGGTGACCCATTTATGTCCTTTGCCTATGTTTCTTAAAGGCTGTTTGTCTTGTTGGTTTTGTAAGACCTTTTTACATATGATAGGCCATCCACGCTCCATTATGTGCATTACTGCCTTTTCCTAGTCTTTTGCTTGCTTTCTGTTTCTGCTTTGGCGTGTTTTGATCTGAGGAAGTTGAAAATTGTTTGTAGTCAGATCTTTCTATCTTTGCCATCTACCTCCTGAAATAAAACCAGCATTCATACATGTAACCTCAGTGATATGATTAGAGACGGTGATAAGTACACGGCAGATAGAAGCAGGTGCTGTGATAAGTACCAGGGGCAGCCCTGCTTAGGTGATGGGTTTCTGGGTGCAAAGGCTGCACCGGACAGATTGGCGGGGAGTGTCAGAGGCCCGTGGGACACAAGACTTGTGGGGGACGGAGAGGGGACAGTGGATGGGTGGCAGGGGCTTGAGGTCTCTTATTTCCTTAAACCTTTCATTTTAAGATAGCTGTGAACTCACACGCAGGGGAAGGAGATAATACGGAGATCCCCGTGCGCTCAGCTGCGTGCAGGTGACACCTTCCAGAACTGAGGTGGCGGCCACGGCCACGGCCTTGTGCAGCTCGCCCCGTGTCCTGCACTCCCTCACGTGAGGCCTTTAGTTCTGTGCAGTTTCACCACACGCACAGCTTGTGTCTGCATCCCCGCAGGCAAGATGCCAAGCGGTCTGTCCTCACAGGGATCCCTCTCTGTGTTGCCTTTTATAGCCACACCGCCCTCCCTGCCTGCCTGTCCCCACTTAACCCACAGTAACCTGCTCCCTCTCCAGTGCTGCCATTTCGGGAACGTTACACACTGAAATGGTTGAAATGGTTACATACGTGGAATCAGGCAGAGCGTCCCCTTGGATTGGCCGCTTTCGCTCCTGGGCCTTCACAGGTAGAGGACAGGCTGGGGTGACCCAGGTCTGTTTTAGTCCGCATCCCCTTATTCTCTCGGCCCCACTCTGGGCTGAGGAAGATCCTGCCACAACCCTGTTCAAAGACCCTCCAATCTGCTCATTGCCCAGAGGAGGGGCCTCTGGCCTGGAGTCCTCCCTGGGCTCAGGGATCTGTGGACCCCTAAAGTAGAAGGCAAAGCTAAGGGTCTGCACTTGCCTAGTAAGAAGGGTTGGAGTTTGCACCCATTTTCAGACGGGCCCGTGGTCCCAGGACGTTAAGGACAGAGGGAGAGGCTCTGGGGCCTGAGCGCCCTGCTCACATCCAGGCTGCCACCTGCAGCCAGGCCAGTCGCTAACACCACTCTGTGCCTTGGTTCCTCCTCTGAAAATGGGGAATAATAGCACCCACTTCCTGGGGCTGTTTTGAGTGTTGAATGAATTAATATCACTAGCCCTAGCTGGTTTGGCTCGGTGCATAGAGCGTCGGCCTGTGGACTAAAGGGTCCCAGGTTCGATTCCCGCCAAGGGCACATGCCCAGGTTGCATGTTTCTATCATTGATGTTTCTATCTCTCTCCCTTCCTCTCTGAAATCAATAAAAAATATATATTAAAAAATTAATATGGCTAAATGGTAGAGGGATGTGGTAAATATTGCATGTTAAGTGAATGATGAGGCCGCAGGATATAGGAGGGCAGAGCCTTTAGGCACAGACCTGCCCCCGGGGCTTGGGGCCCTCTCTGTGCCAGTTGTCATCCTCAACAAGCTTCAGGTCAGCAGCGTTTCTTCCACAGGGAAGCACAGGTATGTGTGGGCACTGTCCCCTCCCTTGTCCTGGCTCTCATATCTCTATTAATATGGCGTTAGTTGGTGTTTTTGTTTGTTTAAGTTGCTGCTTCACCTCTGGCTCATGGGGGTTTGTAGACAATACAGATCCTCGGCTTTTTCTGCTGCTCAGTCAGCCCTCCTGGTCCTGTGTGCGGGCAGCTGATGTTTAAAATTGACAAGCAGGATGGCCAGCTCTTTCTGGCTCATTTCATTCATCTCATTGGGTTCGGCCTGCGGTTCTGGGAGGAGAAGTTGAAGGCGTTGATACATTGGAAGGTGCCTTGGGCTCAGAAGCCAACAGACCTGGGTCCTGGCTCTAGCTCTGCCCTCTCATTAGCTGTGGGACCTGATGGGCAAGTTATTTGACCTCTGGCCTCGGTTCCCTTGGGTGGAAAGTGGGGATCACAGCCCATCTTGCAGGGTCTCAGGCAGATCCCATAAGGTCATGCTTCAACCGCACCTCGCAAAGTGCCAAGCACAATGCAGGTACTTCACACGAAGGATTTTATCTGCATGATCCTTGGCTCCACACAAGGCAGCTGTTGCCAATGGCCAGGCTCTGCGCAACCATGGCCTGGGGGTGCGTGCCCCGTCCACGGAGGAGTGCGAGCAGGCACTGCCCCGCAGCATGTCCGAGGTGGTGTTTGCAGGGCTCCCTGTCCAGTTGGCAGTTGAGCGAGGCAGGCCACCCCTGAGACTCCGCCCAGCTCCAGCAGGTCAGGATCGCTGACTGCCGGTGCAGACTGGAAGTTGTTTCCTCCTGCCACATGCTTGACTGGGATCACTTGGCAATTCTTGTTTTTAATCCTTTATTTACCTGCACCTGGGCCATGGTTTCCCTGAAATGTAGCTCCCGCATCCCGTGAAGCCCGCTGATGAGTGCCGTGTGCACGTGTGTGTGCGCGCGCGCATGTGTGTGTCAAAGACGACACCCTGGCTGCGGTCAGGATGCTGTTTCAGTCCACCCTCTTGGAGGCCTTTACCACGACAGCCCTTCTGCGGTGTGGCCTCAGACAGGCATCTCCGCCTCCCTGTTTCTCTTTATTCAGAATCGGGGCTGAAGCGACGCCTGGCCCCCTGGCCCCCTCTGCGCAGGGCGCCGTGGCACCTGTGAGCTGCGAGAGGGAAAGTTACGGGACTCTGCAGAGGAAGCCGCGTCACAGCCCACCACCGCACTCCCTCCCCCGCTTCCTGATCGCCACGTGACCGCGAGGAAGGGGTGCCCGTCTCCCCGGGGAGAGCCTCCAGCCCCATGCGGAGCCCGGCAGGGGCACGTGTCTCTCCAAAGTGACTTGATTCGGCCGACCCTCACTGAGCACGTGCTGCGTGCCCGACACCGGCGCGGCACCGGGACCGGCCGTGAACGAGGCCACGCGCCCTCGGGGTGGGAAGAACAGTCTCCCCCACACGCTCCTTGTCCTGCGCCCCCTGGGGACAGGCCAGTTCCTCCCCGGCGCCCTCAGCTCCGGCCTGTCGGAGCCTCTGCAGGTTTGTGAACTCGGGGCAGGAACCCCGAGAGCCATCCTTTCCCGCTCCGGGCGATGCTACCTCTGACCACGTGGTGAAGGTGGTGCCTTCCAGGCTTCTGCACAATTATATATATAGATTATGTAACATTATGATGTTACTCGACTCATTAATTAGTAAATAACTAACACGAGGTTGGTGGGGAGCTAGAGGCTGCCGTGGTGGTGAGAGCTGCCCCTGCTCCCCGACTTGTGACTGTCACTGCAGACTCCTGCACCCCTGCTCTAACTCCCGGGGCTACCGCTGGTTTATATAATGTCATTGTGATGCGTCCGTTGTGCCCATGTGGGCCAGTGGGCACCGTCCGAGCTGACTCCTGCCCTTCACCGTGTCCCCAGCATTCCTGCGCTCTTCCTTCCTTCCTGGCACAGCGAGTCCAGGCGGGCACCTCCCTGCCCCTGGAGCCAGAATTCCCCCACGGGGCGCTGGTTCCTTTCGAAGCAGAGCAGGGTTTAGAAGCCATGGCCTGGGCGCCGGATGCATGGTGATCCGATGCCCGGCTGGGTCCTGGCGGACGAGGGGCGCTGTGGAGGCCGCTAGCGAAATGGAAGCAGGGTCAGCGGATTGGATTGCGTCGTGCGTCCGTGTAGTTTCCTGACTTTGCTGGTTGCGTTGTGGCTATGCAGGGTATGTCCTTGTTTCCCTGAAATCTGCCCTGGAGTATTGAGGGGCAATTTATCCCTGTGCATAAATAAATAAGAGAGAGGCTGAGGGAGGGAAATGAAGGGAAAGGACGGGAGAGGAAAGGGTGGGGTGGGCCTGGGTGGGGTGTGTTGGAGGAGCAGCGGGAATGGAGGCCAGCAGGTGGCAGGAGCCAGGTGCACAGCTGCTGGGCTGGGGGGGGGGGGGGGCGGCGCTGGCAGAGCCTTCCCGGGGGATGAAGCCCCCGGAGCTTCCCGCAGGGGCTGGGGCTGCTGCTGGGGCTCCAGCCCCCAGCGTGCTCCCCACACGGCAGAGTGCGCTAGGGCCGCGCCTCCTCTGTGCAGGGCACCTGCGAGCGCCATCCGTCACTCCGGGTGCAGGTAGAGTGGCCGGAGCCCAGAGGCAGTGACTGAGCAGCACATGGCAACCGAGTGGCAGGAGGAGGACTGGCAGCCGCCTCTCTGGACATGACCCCAAGATAGAGACCCCCGGGAACGCGGGTGGGGGCTGTCAGCATTGCCGGGAATACAGCCCAGGACAGTGCTTTGTAGGGGGCACTCGGCATGAGGTGCCGGGAGTGCTGGGGTGACGCTGGTGGCCCGATGGGATTCTGCTTCTGAGCATCTTCCTCAGGAAACCACTGGCGACCTCCCTCCACCCCTCCCTGTGCCAGGTGGCTCGAGGCCGCCCGTGTGTCAGCTCCCGTGATCCCCGCAGCGCCCAGTGCCAAGGAGACTGAGGCAGAGGGCGAGCTGCTTGCGCAGGGCTCACAGGAGCGCATGGCGAGCAGGTGCGGGACTTAAGGAGATGATCGGGTAAACGTGTGGTGAGGTCCCCCGGGGACGGGCAGACACGGCCTGTGCGGAACAAAGCAACAGTAAGGAAGGCTCAGCCCAGTGCCAGGCACACCACACCGTGGGCCACACTGACCTGAGGCTTTGCATCTGAGCGTTGTGGTGTGAAGCGATGTTAATGATGCAGTGAGTTTAAGACGCAAGTTTTCATATGTAGACGGTGCTGCTATTTTGGTAAATGAATTTCACATTTACCTCCCTATATCCATAGCAGCAAAGAGAGAATCGATCCTAACATGTGAGCGGGGTACTGCTGGGCTTGTGATTTGGGATTTGAACTGTGTTTTCTCTCTGGGTGTCTGTACCTTCTAGTCTTTATTCTCCAGTTACGTGTTGTGGATGTCATTAATATAACGAGGGTGAAACATGCTTTTACTGATATAAACCACAGAACAGAAGGGCCCTCTGTGGGGTAGAAGTCGGGGAGCGGGTAATGTGCTATGTAAGGAACAAGACAAAGCCATGGGGCCGTGTAAGGGACTCTTAGCTCAAGCGTGTGGGCGCAGCCATCTGGCTTGCCTGACCTCATGGGCTCGCTCATGCACCTGAGGTCAGCTGCAGGCCTGCGGAGGTGGAGGTCACCACGGGACTGGGCAGCCGCCCGTTGCCAGTGCGGAGGGAGACTGCTGGGACTGCTGTCACCGTCCTCCAACAGGCGAGGCCAGGCACGTTCTCCAGGCAGTGGTTGTGCAAAGCAGGCCTGTGCCTGCCTCACTCTGGCTAATATTCTGCTGGCCAAAGCCAGTCACATGGCGAGCCCAGAGTCCAAATGCAGGGAGAACGCCCTGCCCAGAGCAATGGGGGTGGGGTGGGGTTCAAGACAAGGTTACACGGACACAGGAGTGAAGAATTGAGGCCAGTAATGTAGTCAGACTAACACATTCGACAGTATCATTTTTAGTGGCTGCCCAATACTTTGTTGCATGGGTATACCATCATTTATTTAACCAACTCTCTAAGGTTGGACAGTCGGGTTAGAATTTCCAAACTATTTCAAGGAATTGTAAGTCCTTCGGAGGATTAATTGGGGGTTTGACACACACACACAAATGAAGGTTGGGTAAATAAATTTGGTAAGTGTTGAGTTAAGTGAAGAGAAGTTAAGTTTCCTTGTTGCAGGACTTATCAGAACCTTTACGTGCACATGTGCATTGTGAACTTCCAAACGCCTGAGGATGCTCAAACTTAGGGATTTTTTTCAAGAAGCATCTCTCGGGACAGGTGTTCCTGGCTCTCACGCGGGGCTTTGTGCACCTGGGTTGAGTTTCATGATATGAACAGATCTCTGATGAACAGGGAGGGCTAGCTGTTGCCAACACACAATGGCCAGGGTGGGGGGCAGTCGTGTCGGAGTGAGGTGAGTTCTGAAGGCTGCACGCAGGATGATTGGGGTGGTGGGACCACGAGTCAGCACTCACCTGGCTCACCTTCTCTCAGCAGGTGCCTTAGGACCTCCCGATGGGGTGGCTTGGCTCTGGGCTCACGTTCCCTGTGAGCTGCCTGATCCTGGTGTGGGCAGCAGGCTCTGGTAAGTCACTACCTCTCATTCATTCATTCATTCATTCATTCATTCAACATGTATGGACTGTCTACCTGCCAGGCTCAATCAGTAAACAAAACAAAGATCCCTAGCCCACCCCATAACAAAGAAACAGAATTTCCGGAGGATGAGGCCCAGAAATCAGGATTTTTAAGAAGATTCCCAGGTGATTCTAATGTGCAGCCAAGGTTGAGAACCACTGCCTTAGAGATTTCGCTGTAGTGGGAGGAGACAGCCGATGACAGATGGCCCTAATTGTAAGCTAATTCTAGATTGTCAGAGGTGGTGGGAAAGACGGTAGAGGGCAGAGCAGGGAGGGCTGGGGACAGCGGGGTCAAGTGGAGGACTGCAATTTAAAGCACGTGCTCAGGGAGGTCCTCCTGAGTGACAGGCGCTCAAGCAAAGACTTGAAGGAGGGGGAGCGTGCAGATACCTGCGGGCGGACCTCAGTGGAGGCCGGAGCCCAGCGCCTGCCTGGAGAGCTGGAAGAACCAGAGGAGGCTGGGGTGGGGCCGGGAGGCAGGTGGCCAAGTCAGAAAGGACCGGGCAGGGTTTGAGCACAGGAACCACATGACCTGTGACACTGAAAGGGATCCCTTTGTCTGTAAGCACGAGGGTGGAGGCCGGGAGGCCAGGGAGGAGGCGCCGCAGTAAGGCGGGTTCAAAGCCAGCTCTGCCACTGACCGGCTGGACAAAGCACCCCACCCTCTCATCCTGCCCTTCGATATTGGCCAAACCCAACAAGGAGCCAGAGGCCAAGGGCCCCTGGGTGACAGACCGTGGGGATCAGCCTCCTGAGCTCAGCGGGGTGGAGGGGTGGGGCTGGAGTGGCGCAGGGACAACCACCTCCGCACGCGCTGCAGAGCAGGTGCTGCTGGCGGGTCGCCCTCCTCACACCGCCACGTGTTTCCCTTTAATTTGGCCAAAAGCAAGTAGGCGAGCTGCAGCACACAAAGGTCATTGGGGTGTCCCCTCAGTGGGCCCGCACCCCAGGGCCCTTCCTCAGCTCCAGGATCGCCTCAGTGCAGCAGGAGGCTCTGAAAACGGCACAATGAGCGGTCCGGGGCAGTGGTTCCCTTGCTTTGTGCTGGGCCCCTTGGTCCTGTTCGGGCTGGTTTCCGACCTTCCCGGTGGCCCGTGGCCCTCTTGCCTGTTGGGCTGTGGCTGCTCAGAGCGCTCCTGTGTCTCCCCAGGGAGTGTTCAGGTCCGGGATCAGCCCACCTGCTTCTCCGACTACCTCAGCACCTCCACCTGTGCGTGGAGGATGGGCGGCCCCACCAACTGCAGCGCCGAGCTCCGCCTCACCTACCAGCTGGATTTTCCGAACTCCGAGTAAGCCTGTGCCCGGGGGAGGGGGGGGGGGGGGCCGGGAGGTTGGCCTGAGTTCGCCTGGTCCCGGCGGAGTGCCGGGTGCCGAATGCAGTTCCCTGCGGTTCCTACTGGGCCCGGGGTTGGAGCTGGGGCGCCGGGGCGCAGGGTGTGATACAGTGGGTGTGTCATGACGCTCCGAGCACACGCACCCAGGCCCGCAGCATGTGGATGTGGGTGGAATATTGGACCAGACCAGCGGTTCTCAGGACTCTAGCATGCTTAAAATTAGCGAGGACCGCAAAAGCGTTTGTGCAGTTGGCCTATAGCGATCGCTCTTTACCCTGTTAGGAATTACACCAGGACATTTAAACACAACCGCACACAAGCCACCAGAGCCATGACACCATAACACGCCACATGACCTCTAGAAAACTCCTTGGTACGTGTGTGAGAGAGAGTTAAGCGGCAGATGGTCTGGCCTATGGGTCCCCAGACCACACTCAGAGACCACGGGCATGACCATCGTTGGGGCACAGTGTGGAGTTCAGCATGGAACGTGAGGGGCATGTTCCCGTGATTCACTGGGACAGTCCCTGTACACGGGGAGCCATCACGGGGTGCCCAGGACACAGTCAGGTACACAGGCTCGCAGTCAGGCCCCGCGGCGCAGCAGCATGTGGGTGCATGACAGGTGGTGTTCCACGATGCGCGAAGGTGGGCGCACTGTGCTCCCGTGCGCAGTACATCGGCTTAGACCGGAGATGGAACCCTGGGCAACACTGGGCCACCACCTGTTTTGTAAGTTGGCACATGGCCACGCCCATTCGTTCACGTGTTGCCTATGGCTGCTTCTGTGCTTGACCGGCAGGCAGGGTGTGTAGTGGGGACAGAAATTGTCTGGCTCTCAGAGTCTGGCCCTTTACAGAAAATGTTTGCCCCCCCCTGGACGAGACACGGGTTGGCTGTTTGGGGCAGCACGTTAGGATGACGTGTGGTGGCAGGGCGTGTGCCGCAGTGCCCTGCACGGGAGAGGCTGCCCCCCGAGGTATGCTAGCACACGCACGTGCTGTTACAGATTCTTCAATGCTGCGGTCTTCCCTTTCACCGGCCTTCGGGGACGAGCTGAGCCCTGGGACCGAGGGGTGTGGTGTGGTGAGGGGCTGTGGCAGCAGGGAAGGCTGTCCTAGCCCACTGTCCCCACCACGCACTCTGGCCGCTCTGCTTCCCAGTCCCCTGACCTGGTCCTTGAGGCAGGTGACCAGGAACTGAAAGAGCATGTGGTTCCTTAAGGCACGTACGGGGGACACCCATACGTGCACGACCAGCCTAACACAGCCCGTGTCCGCAGAAACCACACGTGTGTCCCTGTGAATGGAGAGAGCGCCGTGTGCCGGTGCGACATGCTGGTGGACATCATAGTCAGTGGGGACACCTACCAGCTGGACCTGTGGGCTGGGGAGCAGTGGCTGTGGAGTGGCTCCTTCAGGCCCAGCGAGCATGGTGAGTGGGGCGGGGCAGGGGGGGTGTTCTAAGCCCCGGCCCTGGGTGGGCCAGGCAGGCTCCAACTGGGGGAGGGGCCCAAGCAGCCTTTCCTTAAACTCGATGGGGTTCTTGCCCTGTCTGGGCCTTAGTCCTCCCCTCTTTGAAATGGGTTGGGCTCCGCAGCACCAGGCCCCTGCAGCTCAGACATCTCAACCCCCCGAATGTGAGTGCCCTGACTGGGTGTTGAGCAGGCTGCTTGGTGGAAGGCGTGCTTGCTGCAGACCAGAAACTGAGCTGGGAACCGTCCTCCACCCTCCCTCAACTGCTCAGCTGCCCCTGCTTCACACAGTCCGGACCAAGCATGTCAAACTCGCAGCCACGGGCTGCATGCCTCATTTATTTGGCCCGTGTTAGCCTTTGAGTTTGACATGCTTGGTCTACATGGAAGGCTGACTTTATACTGCTGCCCGGGGCCCCTGCAGGCATTCCTCAGGAGCTGGCTGGGGGTAGTGACGGGAGTTTAAAACACCATTTATTGTTGTGTGGCCTTGGGCAAGTCACATTACCTCTCTGAGCCTCCGTTTCCAAAAGAGAGTTCCTATCCCCATTTTGCAATTGAATAAACTGTAGTAGTGAGAAGGCAAGTAACCTGCCTCAGTCACCCAGCTACTGAGCAGCACAGGCAGTCTCTCGCAGCCTCCACTGTTCCATCAGCAGTTCCTGAGGGGCCTGCTCATGAATTGACCCATGAACAAACCCGTGAGTTAAAATAATTCTCACACGTGTATATTGACTTTAATGCATCTTATATACTTGTGATCTCACTGATATGATTGCTTAAAAAGAGACTAAGTTTAAACACATGAATCAAAATAAAGAAAAAGTATGAAGGACAAAAGTACAAACACTGAAGTTTGGGTTCCGTTTTGGGTTCCCTGTGGCTCCAGGTAGAAGTGGAGCGACGCTAGAATGAGTGCTAGGATTGCAACTGTTATGACTGAATCTGCGTGGTGCCTTACAAATGTGTGCGGAGGTGGTGTTGACTGAGAGCCTCAATGGCCCGGGTTCCGAGGGCCCACAAGCCCTCACCAGGCCCCGCTTCTCCCCAGTGAAACCCAGGGCCCCCGGAAACCTCACGGTTAACGCCACCGACTCCCACACGTGGCAGCTGACCTGGAGCGACCCGTACCCACCTGAGAGTCTCCTGCACTCTGAACTCTTCTACCTGGTCAACATTTCAAATGACAACGACCCCACGGAGGTGAGTGGGCACTGTGGGGGTTCTGCACCAGCTCCTGGGACTCGGGGAGCGGAGACCCCGCCCCAGGGTGGGGGGCAGAGAGGAGCCCGGCTGACAGCAGCCCCGGGACCTAGAGTCCCAGCTCTGTCCCTCCACCCCTTCCTGGTGCCCAGCACGCAGAAAGGGGACGTGATTTGTGGGCCCTGCTCCTCCCGGTAAAGGAGGCTCTGGGCACAGCTGGGTGTCCCAGGGGCCGGGAGGGACACTGAGATTTCGGGAACTCTCAGATGACCGAGTCCCACCGCGAGACCCTCACTCAGCATCGTCTCCCTCCCGACGCTGACTGGTCAAGGCAGGCGTGGCCAGGGCTGCGGTCTCGCCTGAGGCTCACAGGGAGGGATGGCTCCCAGGCTCCTGTGATGTTGGCAGCATCCGTGTGCTGTGGGCTGTTGGGCCGAGGGCCTCAGGTCCTTGCTGGTCCTTGGCAAGAGGCCACCCTCCGTTCTTCCCTCATGGCCTTCTCCCAGCCAGCCAGGGGGAGAGAGGGCGTCCCAGGGAGTCGGAATGACAGTCTCATAGGATGTAATCACACACGTGCGGTCCCACACACCCATCACCTTTGTACGTCCTGTCGGTGAGAAACAAGTCACAGTCCTGCCCACACTCAAGAGGAGGGACCGCACAAGGGCAAGATACAAGGGGGCGATCCTGGGGCCCTCAGTCTGTCCAACACCATTTTTTTTAACACAACAAGCAGCAGACAACACCTACTAATCTCATCTTACCTTGTCCACTTAGCTACAGATCCTGGGAGTCTTCCCAGTTGGGGCTGGGTGGGCGGGGCTGAGGTTCAGGGCCATGTGACTGGGCTGACAGGTGGGGCTGAGATTCGGGGCCATGTGACTGGCCTGGTAGGCGGGGCTGAGATTGGAGCCATGTGACTGGGCTGGACTGTGAGGCTCTAGAGAGCCCATGAGGGAGTGAGGGGCTCCCTGACTCTGTCTGTGCTTCGGAAAGATCATCCTGCTCCCTGCATGCCAGGCCCTGTCCTAAGCGCGTCCCTGCATCAACCCATTTACTCCTCACAGCCACCCTGGGAGGCAGGCACGTTTATTATCCTCATTGCAGAAGAGGACATCGAGGACCAGAGAGGTTCTGTCACTAACCTAAGGTCACACAGCCCGAAAGTGACAGTAGGGACCCTTGCCCTCAACTTACAGATGAGGAAACTAAAACTCAGAAAGGTTCATTGACTCGCCCCAGTCATGTCAGAGGGCTGGTCAGTGAGGGTATTGGGGGCCAGTTTCCTGACCCCTCTCCCTCGAGTCCGGTCACAGCTACGGAGGGGCCAAACAATGCCTGGGCTGGAGGAATGACCGAACACCAGGCTGCTGGCTCTTACTCACGGTGGGGTCAGCCGCGGACAGCAGCCCGAGTGCGAGTGGTCCCGCCGCCCCCAGCTGTGCAGTGATGTCTTCCTTCCCCCCCAGTTCCTCGTCAGCAATGTGACCTACATGGAGCGCACCCTCCGTGTCCCAGCCAGCACCCTGAGGCCCGGGGCCCTCTACAGCGCGCGGGTGCGGGCCTGGGCCCCGGACTACAACAGCCTGTGGAGCGAGTGGAGCCCCCGCGTCCAGTGGCTTCACGGTGAGTATCCGTGGTGAGTGCTGAGCAGTTAGAATCCCCCCCACCTCACGCTGTGCCCAGACACTGGCCCTGGCCGAGCATCTGGGTCTCCGTCCGAGGACGCCGCCACGGCAGGTAACAGAGGAAGGACGGTCATGGCGCCCTGGCCCAGCGGGCGGGCGAGGCTGCAGTGACAGGTGCCCGCGCGGTCCGAGCTTTCACACGTGGAAAGGTGCTTCTCGCTGAGTAACAGTCCAACGTGAGCTGTGCCGGTCTGTGGGCGGTCTTCCTCCCGCGGCTCCATCTCTCAGGACAGAGATGATTGACCTTTTGTGTCATGGACCCTTTGGCGGTCAGGGAGGCCTGAGGACCCATTCAGAATAATGTTCTTAAAGGTATAAATAAAGTAACAGGATTACAGGGGAACTAATTTTATGCAATTATAAAAAAATATCTTAAATATACTTGTTATCTGGGAATATATGCTCCTCTGTTAACACATTAGAAACAGGAGCGAGGGCAGTTCTATAAATGCTGTCACTGGAAAGCGGATGAGATAGGTGACATTTTGTGATCTGGCAGCCGCAATGTGTAGGAGAACAGCTGTGGTTTGTGTCGGCAGCTGAGTGACTGGTGATGCTCTCACCGTGGTTTGCTCCCTCCATTCCTAATGGGAGGAAATGCGAGGTGTCAGAAGTGAGTGAAAATAAAATGTCGTTTCTTTCCCATCCAAGTCCCAGACCTCTGAATTCTGTCTGCAACCTTGTTGGAGGTCTGTGGACCCCAAGTTAAGGCTCTCTAAGGGCCCTGCCATTGTCTGCATCCAACCAAAGGGGAAGGAGAGCAGGGAGACCACACCTGCTTCTTAAAAGCCTTAGCCTGGAAGTGACACACGACTCCCTCTCAAGTTCTATTGGTGAAACTGGCCACTTGGCCACAGATAGCTGCAAGGGATCCTGGGAAATGTAGTCCTTCGCTTGTAGCTGCATCCCCAAAACAACTCTTTGCAACTTTATCACATGGCTTTTGTAATAGAAATGTTGAATTAGCTCACATTCCCAGGTTCATACAGCAGCTCAGTGATGTCGCCCCAGAGCCTTGCCTTCTTTTCCTCTGTCATCCTTAGCATGGCAGTATTTTATCCTTAAATTTGCCACCTCATGGCCCCAGGTTGGCTGCTGCACACATCCTCAGGCCCCCAGGACAAAGGGAATGAAAGGCTGCCACGAGCAAATGCACTCCCGCATCTCTCTTTCATCAGGAAGCAAAAAATCCTCCCAGGAGCTTCCCTAGCAGACTTCCCCTTGCATCTCATTGGCCAGGACTGTCACATGGCCTCTCTCAACTGCAGTGAGTGCTGGGAACTCAAATGTCTGGAAAGGGGACTAGGATGATCGTGATTGGCCCAAACCTCAGGGTGGGCACATTGCCACTAGGCAAAGAAGAGGGGAGGTCGGGGAGGGGAGGCTGCCTCAGGCATTGTCTGCGCTGGGGGAGGGGGGAGGTGAACACTCACTGAAAGAAGGGTTCTTCCAAGTGCTGGGGACAGTGGGGCTTGGCAGGTACTCCTGCCCCACCCACCACACGTCCCTCTCCATCGCTCACCTGTTCTGTGTGTGTCTCTTCACCCACCTGTCTCCACCTGGGCTGTGAGCTCTGTGGGTAGTATCTACCCTGTGCCTGTGTCTCCAGTGCCCAGAATGGGGCCAGGCACACAGGAAGTTCTTGGGAAAGTTTTGTTGAATTGATTTGATTCTCTCATTGGCCTGGGGAAGGGAAGGGAAGGGAAGGAAAAGGGAGAGAAACGGCTTACATGGAACATGTACAGTGTGCTGGACACGTTCATTATGGCCACATCTATTTACTGAGCTCCTACTATGTGTGGCCCCATGCTAGACACTGGGAAATCAGTGGTGAACAAAGCAGACCAAAATCCCTGCCTTCTGGAACTGGCACTCGGGGGAGGGGGGACAGAAAATAAACATACAGAAAAGAGGAAATCAGATCGATCTAGACCCAGAGGGCAGTCGGTCTCTGGGAAAGGGGACAGAGTGATGAGAGGGGCAATGGTAGAGAGGGTGTGTGGGGGGGGGGTGGGTTTGGAGCTGGTGAGGGTGAAGGGACGAGGAGAAGGAGCCTGCTGTGCGAAGGTGATAACAGCTGTGGGCCTGCAGGCACTGCTCTGAGTGCGGTGGGCAGTGAGTCGCATGACCCTCACATCTCCCCGTGAGGTGAGCACTGTTGTTAACCCCATTGTACCGGTGAGGAAACCGAGGCACTGAGAGTGTGAGGGACGTGTCCCGGGCCACCAGTGAGGATACGCCAGAGCCAGGCTTTGAACCCAGGTCGTCCAGGGCCAGAGTCACTGCCCTTGACCTCTGTGCTTCAGGAAGAGCAGCAAGTGCAAGATCCTGAGCTGGCACTGAGCGTGGAGGAGCAGGGGGCAGCGAGGGGGCCCGTGTGGCGAGGGCTCAGGGTGCAAGGGGAGGGCAGCAGGGGCTGAGGCGGGAGGGCTTGGGGGTGGCCCGATCATGCGGGGTCTGGGACACACTGTCCTGCGGCTCCGGTCTCCAGCCCTGGGAAATGGGGACCAGGCTGTACTTAGCGCAATGCGGGCTCACGGCGTCCCTCCCACCTCCAGACTACGAGTTGCCCTGGGAGCAGCACCTCCCACTTGCCGTCGGCATCTCCTGCATCGTCATCATGGTCGTCTGCCTGTCCTGCTACTTCAGCATCCTCAAGTGAGTCCTGGGCCGGCCCCCTGGGTGGGAGTGGGCAGGAGTCCCTCCGCTCATCTGTCAGCTTACAGTCCTCCTTTAACCATAAATGTTTATTGAGCAGCTACTGCGTGCGAGGCACCGAGGCAACAGCTGAAACAAAACCCGCAGGACTCTGTGCTCCTTGTGGGAGACAGCTGTCAGGTCTGCAACAGCCACAGCGCTTTCCACAGCAGCCCAAGCGCTGAGGGAAACAACGGGCGCAGGGCACAGGTGTCCCGGGCGCTGTGTCCGGTGGGAGGAGGGGATATTTGAGCTGAGGCCTGACTAGAGGAAGGAGCTGGCCAGCGTGGAGCTGGAAAGGGCCTTCCCTTGGGAAAGGGAGGCGGATCCTGCCCGGGGTATGGTCCAGACAGTTGGGGGCAGGTGACAATAGACCGAGGAATTCTAGCCGATTCCCCTGACAGAGTCAGGAGACCGGGGCTCAGGTTCTGGCCCTGGCGCTGGTAGCTGTGTGGCTGGCTCCTCCTTTGCAGGCTGAGAGATAGCAAGAATGTATTTTGTCAGTCCCAAGAGTCCTGAGAAAGTCTTGGATCACAGTGGGGTGGAGGTAGAAGGAGCCTGGTTCCCAGGAAACAGGGTGTCCCAGAGCCTCAGTCCTCCCATCTCTGAAATGGGACTAATGAGTCTTACCTCACTATGGGAGGATTAGTGATGGCCAAGGATTGACTGAGCGAGTGTCCTGCACTCTGCTGGGCACACAGTAAGTGTGCAGGGATTGTAAGCTTTCCTCTCCGTGTCTTGTCACCAACACCTCCTAGTCACTGTGGGCTGGTCTTTCCCCTTCTCTGCGCCTCAGTTTCCCCATCGCCTGTCCTCCCAGCCCCACTCAGTGTGCCCAGCACTCCAGCCTTCTTGGTGTTCTTTGAACGCACCAAGCAAGTTCCTTCCGAGCCTTTGCACTCGCTGTGCCCCTACCTGGAAAGCCCTTTCCTCTGGCATCGCCATGACTCGCTCCTCTTCCACCTTCAGTCGCCACTCAGAGGCCACCTCCTCAGGGAGGCCTTCCCGGATCACACCCTCCATTCCTCTCTATTCCTTTATCTTCTTTATTTTCTCTCATGGCACTTGATGCCATAATTAATGTCCTATAGTTATTTCTGTCTGTCTCCTCTTCTAGAAGGTCAGCTACGTGAGGGCTGGGCTTTTGTCTGTCTTGCTCACTGTTGTGTCCCCGAGGCCTGGCACAGTGAGTGGTGCATAGTAGGCGCTCAGTGCGGACATGCTGACTGGCTGAGTGGAGTCAGCGGAGGCCGATCCAGGGGCAATCTGAGGGCCTTCCCTCAGAGCTGGCACTCCATGGCTCCAGGCGACCAGGGGAGGGAAGGAGCCTATTTCCCCCAGGGTCTCCTCGGCTTCTCAGGCCTCCCAGGCCTCCCCTGGCCGGACTCTGAGCTGCTCGGTGGGGGACTGCTGATGGGCACACCCCGGATTCTCTGCAGCTTAAGTCCCTCCTACTTCCCTGGGCTCGTTCCACTGAGGACAGAGGCAGCGAGTTGGGAGCAGAACGCTGGGGCACGAACTGGCTCTTCTGCTGCCAGCTGTCCCTTCAGCCCTGTGAGCCTCAGTGTGCTCATCTGTGAATGGGGTTGGCAGTAGGACCTGTTCCATGGGCTTAGGGTGAGACATCCAAAACCAATCAACCTGGTCCTGACCCCTAGGAAGTACTGGCCATATGATCATTTTTATGGGAAGAGAGACCAACGTGTTTTCCTTTCCTTTTTCAGGATTAAGAAGGAATGGTGGGACCAAATCCCCAGCCCGGCCCACAGCTCCCTCGTGGCTGTTGTCATCCAGGAGCCTCAGGTAGGAGAGGGCTGGTCCGGATGCTGTGGATGCTCCTATCGGGAGCTGGGATTCAGGCGTCTGGGATGTTAAAGATACGCACTGGCTTTTGGATTGGCACCTGAGCCGTCAGGAAGGTCTCAGCGCTGGTCGGTTCTGCAGCCCAGTGTGGTCATCGGGGGCCCAGAGGCTGCCCCCTCCCCTCGGCTTTCAGAGCCACCTTTTCAGCCTTGGGTGGGTTCCCTCCCTTGGGAGGAGTTGGCCCCTGAGGTCATCTGCATGTCACCTCCTGGGGAGGTACCTGTACCAGGGCAGGAGGCCAAGAGGCCAGGGAGAGGGGGACACGGCTCCTGTGTGTTCCTCTTACGAGCAGGAAACTGCCGCCAAAGCGCCAGCAAATCTCCTTTCTCGTTGGCCTGAGTGGCATCACGTGCTCTTTCCTAAACCTTCACCTGCAAGGAGTGGGGATACCGTGGGCCGGCCGGGTGGCCAGCCCTGAGCGATGGCCACGTGTGGGTTGCCTGAGCTCATTGGGGTTCTCCAGGAAGGAGGCAGGGGGTGCAGGGCCTTCAGGTCTCCAGCGACCCTCAGGCAGGCTCTGGAGTCTGTGGTGCTGACTTTGAACCTGGCTCTGCGACTCGCCTGCAGAGTGGACGGGGTGTGAGCGAGTGGCTTACCTTCTCCGAGCCTCGGTTTTCTCGTGTGGGTTGTCGTAGTGTTTGTATAACAGGCCGCCTTTGGAATTCACCGGGACAGTACATGTAAGGTGTGTGTCACAGGGCCCTGCACAGAGTCAGCGTCGTCCCTGTATCAGCCAGCTTTTGCTGTGTAGCGAATTATCCCGAAACTTGGTTGAAACAAGCCATATCTATAGCTCTTGCTTCTGCAGGGCGCTCAGCAGGGGCGTCGGGTGGGGGGTCTGGGCTGGGCAGGGCAGGGCAGCTCTCTGGGCTGGCTGCCCCCAGCGGCTTCACGCACAGGTGCGGAGTGACTCAGCCGTACGTCTCATCCTTCCGCAGGCTGGGCCGTTGGCGCGGTGCCACTTATACCACTTTCTGTTGCCCAAAGCAAGTCCCAAGGCCAGGCCAGGTCCAAGGGGTGGAGGAGCTGCAGGTGACAGTGGCCATTTTTGCTTTCAGCCACAGCAACTTAATATTAGGGCGGCCTCACTCATTCCCAGGGGCTGAGGCTCCAGGAGCGGCAGTGGCCTGGTCTGACCTCTGACCCGGGTGACGTCAGGGCCTACAGTCCTCCCACGGCGAACACGGAGCTCGCTGTGGCCAGGCTGGCGGGAGGCCTCTCCGCCCTGTTCATTGGCTGTCTCTGCGTTTCAGGTGCCACCGCGGGGGAAGAGGCCCGGGGGCCAGGAACCAGCCAAGTGCCCGTATGTATATGAACTTCGGTCATGGCCTGTGTGGATTTGGAAGGCGGGGGGATTGGCGTGGTGGGCCCCATCTTGAGAGTGGGGTTTCTCGCCCCTCCATGTCTGCCTTCTCTTCCTTGGCATTCAGCCCTGTTCCTTCGAGGCGTAGCAGGAGGAGGAGCGGTCTGGGAAGGTGGCTGCTGGCTGGGCCCCTGAATTTCCCTGGTGGGTCAGGCAGGTGCTGAGCCCCTTGGGGTGCACTCTGGCCTGAGCGAGGCTGTAGAGCCAAGTACCCGGGCAGCTGTGCCCGTTGTTAAAGTGCTGACGCAATTGCGTACTGGTTGGCAAGCACCACTATCCCAAACCCTGAGGATGCCACCATCACATTAGCCTCCTAGCGCCCCCTCAGGGTCTCGGGGCCTCCCACAGGGCAGTAGCTAAAGTTTAGACCTGGCACAGCTGGGAGCCCTGGACCTGCAACCATCCTGAGTGGGCATTCCTTATGCTGTGTGTTAATATGTGTTTTAAATCCTATCATCTGACAAAGACTTTAGTTTATTCAATAGTCTGAGCTTGTAGTGGGTCCCAGGTTATGTGCTGAGCTCCAGACATCCCGAAGGCAGGCAGGGCCCCTGCCTTCCAGAAGCTCCCAGGGCAGGCATGGGGGAGACTGATAGCACTGATTGTAAAGCCAGGAGGCACATCTGCAATAAGTAGGCATCAGTCCAGGGTGGCTTCCAGCTGGGTTTTGAGGGATGAATAGGAGTTTTTAAGTGGAGACACTGAGCCCTGACCACACTTTGCTCTTGCAGATACTGGAAGACGTGTCTGACGAAGCTCCTGCCCTGCTTACTGGAGCCTGGCGTGGAAAGGGGTGACGGTTCCTCCCCGGCGGCCAGGAGCGGGCCTGTCCAGGGCCCTAGGAAACCAGCCTGGCGCCCCGTGGAGGTCAGCAGCACGGTCCTCTGGCCGGAGAGCATCAGCGTGGTGAAGTGCGTGGAGCTGCTCGAGGCCCCGGTGCAGAGTGAGGAGGAGGAGCTGGTGGAGGAAGATGGAGGGAGCTTCTGCCCCTCGCCTGAGAACAGCGGCGGCAGCTTCCAGGAGGGCAGGGCGGGCATCGCGGCCCGGATGACGGAGAGCCTGCTCCTGGACCTGCTCGGGGGCTCGGAGGGGGGCTTTTGCCCGGCAGGCTCGGGGGAGCCCTGCCTTCTTCCTCCTTCAGCAGGTGTGAGTGCTCAGGTGCCTTGGGCTGAGTTACCAGGTGAGGCGCCTCAGGAGGCCTCACTTCGGAGCAGGGGGCAGCCTTCTGACCCAGAGCCGCCCCCAGCCACTCGGACGCAGAGCCCAGCCTGCCTGGCTGTCGCAGAGCTGCCCGCAGCCACCATCACCGACAACCCTGCGTACCGCAGCTTCAGCAGCTTGCTGCGCCCGCCCTCGGGTCCTGGAGAGCTGGACTCAGACCCGCAGCTGGCCGAACACCGGGAGGACGGGGACCTCAATGTCCTCTCTGCTCCCCAGGCCTCTGAGCCACCCGCTGCGCTCCAGCCTGAGCCAGAAACCTGGGAGCAGGGCCTCCGGTGGAGCGTCCTCCAGCACAGGGCGGCCGCCCCCGCCTCGGCCCCCGGGGGCTACCGGCAGTTCGCGCAGGCGGTGAGGCAGGGCTGCGCCCAGGGCGGCGAGGCGGGCGGCCCTTCCAGAGAAGCCGGGTACAAGGCCCTCTCCAGCCTGCTGGCCAGCAGTGCCGTGTGCCCAGCGCCACCTGGGGTGGAGGCCAGCAGCGGGGAGGGGGCCTACAGGCCCTTCCAGGGCCTCACTCCTGGCAGCCCTGGGGTGCCTGCCCCTGTCCCCCTGTTCACCTTTGGGCTGGACATGGGGCCACCTCCCCGCCCTCAGAACTCGCTCCTCCCCAGCGGCTCCCTGGAGTGCCCGGGTCTGGAGCCAGTGGCACAGGGAAAGGACAGCCAGAAGCACCTGCTCGCCCTGGAGCAGGCCACGGCCCCCCTCGGGGACGACCTGGGCAGCGGCATCGTCTACTCGGCCCTCACCTGCCACCTGTGCGGCCACCTGAAGCAGTGTCACGGCCAGGAGGAGCGAGGCGAGGCCCACAGCGTGGCCCCCCGCTGCTGTGGCTGCCACTGTGGAGGCAGCTCTGAGCCCCTGGGGAGCCCCCTGCCAGGCGGGGTTCTGCTGGAGACCAGCCTCCCTCCGGCCTCCCTGGCACCCTTGGGTGTCTCGGAGAAGGGCAAGGCCCCCCTGTTCTTCCAGCCTGGCCCCAGCCATGCTCAGAGCTCAAGCCAGGCCCCCCAAATGGTGGCCATGCTCTCCACGGGGCCCACAGGCATGAGTGCGTCCTAGGTGTGCGCCCCGTTGCTGTGTGTGCCTGGACCCTGCCTGTGAAAAACCTCCCCCACCCCCCGGAGGGCAGCCAGGCTGGCGTGGCCGAGGCTCGGAGAAGCCCGCGAGAAGTAAGGCTGTCGGGCCCCGGGCCACAGAGGCTGGACCCTGTCCTCAACACTGACAGAGCTCGGCGTGGGCCGTGGCCGGAGGCACGGGAGCGGGGCCCACAGAGCCACCTGCAGGGCCCCAGAGCCTCCGGGCACCTGGGCTTGTGAGCGAGCTGTTGGCCTCTTGATCGGTCCACGCTTCCCCGCGCACTGCCCCTGTCACGCCGCCCAAGGCCTGCTTGTCCACCTGGTCACCTGGCTGCCCACGTCTTGCCCGGCCCCAGGACCAGCTGCTGCCATGTCACTGGACTGGACGCCGAGCCTAGAAACTAACGAAGCAGCGGGGACGCTTGGGGAGCTTTGGGGGACGGAGGGGAAAGCCCGGTCCCGGAGGCGTGGTCATCAGCCCAGAGGTGCCATCCATTCAACAGCCCCATTAGGCGGACAGGAGCAGGATCTGCGCTGTGGAGGGCGCTTAGTCAAGCGGGGGTGCCAGCAGCACACGAAAAATGGTGATTCCCACACAGTGACAGTTTGCTGGGGCCCTGGTAGGCGTGGGGTCCCCAGAATAAACACACCCAGCTACCTGGGGCCGGTCTGTGCCTCGCAGACACCGTGGCTGGCAGCCACAGAGACCAGAGGGAGAGCTTCGCCCTGAGATCCGGCTGAGCTGGGCGTTCCTGACGCAGGCACCAGGCACCTTTCGCCTGCACGCTGGCCCGGACCGCACGCTGAGTAATGTGTGTGTGCGCGTGTCCCAAAGATTGTTTAAACCTAATATTTGTATTTGCTGAGGAGGCTGAAACAGGAGGGGGTGGAGTTTTATATAAGTAAAGATTCTTTAGCTCTTTTTTTTTTTTACTTTTGAAACAAGCCTACTGCCATTGTGAGTGCTTTATTAACTCATTGACTCCGCACAGGGACTCAAGTGCAATGAGTTGATTTAGGGGGGATCCCAGGAAGCCCTGCTTGGGGAGCGGGCAGTGAGGCAGGAAGGGCAGGAGGCAGCAGAGGGTGTTCTCAAACAGCACCAGCGCCGGCACCTGCTGCCTGCCCCTGCCAGCAGCTTTGGGAAGCCATGCACCGTGTATGCCTGGAGGGGTCCCTGCAAAGTGGGGGTGGGGGGCTGTGGTGTTCATCCACCCACTCTCCTCTGCCACTGGCAGGGGCACTGGCAGCAGTTGGCACGCTTTGCCAAGGTACACAGCGAGTTGGCAGCAGGCCCATAGCTGACCCCAGGCATGTCTCACCCAGGCTCTCTAGGTCAGTGATGGCGAACCTCTGACACCCGAACTCATTTTTTTGGTTGATTTTTCTTTGTTAAATGGCATTTAAATATATAAAATAAATATCAAAAATATAAGTCTTTGTTTTACTCTGGTTGCAAATATCAAAAAATTTCTCTATGTGACACGGCACCAGAGTTAAGTTAGGGTTTTTCAAAATGCTGACACGCCGGGCTCAAAAGGTTCGCCATCACTGCTCTAGGTAATTGTTCTGGACATCCAGCAGGTGGTGTGATGGACGGGGCCTCAGACGGGCAGGCAGGGGATTGTAAGCTCCTAGGTCTGTGTTACTCTGTGTCTCTTTCAAAATGAGAGGCTTGGCTGTTGGAGGTTCCTTCCTGCTCTGGCATTCTACACAGTGCACTAGAGGTGACGGGGAGCTCACTACCTTACATGCAGCCTGATGTTCGTCAAAGTGTGTCCTTGGTTTTTTTTGTTTGTTGTTTTTTTTAAAGTGTCTTCTTTGTACTGAGCCCAAAACTATTGCTCTAGCTGCCAGAGTCACCCCACCATCCACCCCCAGACACCCAGTTTAAAAGTGGGGACACAGCTTCAGGGAGGAAAAGGGACTTGCTAAGGTCAGCAGTGAATGGCAGAGCCTGAACTAGCCCTCTGGACTTTGCCTTCAGGAGCCTTCATAACAAAATATAAGAATTAAAAATAGCTATTTAGTGCCAAGCAACATGCCAAGTGCTGTATATCCACTGTGTCAGTTGGGAAGCAGGCCTACAGCGAGGAAGTCCTGGAGCCAGGTCTGGCTGCAGAGCTCCAGCCCCAGGGGATGCCATCTCATGTGCAGCATGGCACCTATTCAAATGTCAGCTCTAATCCACTTTGAGCATCGTCTCAGAAAACCCAATTTAAACATTAAGCAGCAGAGAAAATACATTTGTGGGAGCGGTGGAGGGGCAGTTGGGTTGAAGTGCAACAGAATGGAGGCAGGGGTCACTGTTCTCTCGTTGGGATCTTATAAGCAAGAGACCCAGGTTGTCAGCTGAGGTTGACGTGACAGAAATAACAGCTGGGGGGGGGGGGGGGGCTGGGATGGAGAATTAGATAGAGACACCTCCCGTCTCTTCCCTGCATTTAAACCCATCCTCCCAGGCTCAGGGAAGCTGGAGAAAGGCCACTGTCCTTGCTTCCCCAACCCCCTTCTCCAGCTTAACCCGGGGACGGAGGAAGCAGAGCAGAAAAGCAGGTAGCAGGAAAGCCCACACCCTGCCCATATTAACTGAGCACCTACTATGCCAGGTACTGTGCTGGGTGCTGAGGAAACAGTGAGATGCGGTTGTTTACCTCCTGGATCTTACAGTTAGTGGGGGAAAGACAGACATGAAACAGAAGGAAAAATTGCCAACACTGATGGGTGCTGTGCACCTGAGAAAGACACCTACTAAGAAGGGCTCCTAGTGGCTAACTGGACTCAAATTTAAAAAATAACAGAACCTAGCAGCAGTTTCTTCACAGGGATCTCTCATGTAAACTTCAAGGAGAAGCCTGCATTGGACTGCCTGCCTGCCTGCCTGCCTGCCTGCACTGTGCTGCTGCCATGTGAGCCCCGGAATCCCATTTCAACCAATAGGACTGAGGTTTTCCCCACCCAATTGGAGCTGGGCAGCTCCACACAGCTCTATCCTGACCAATCAGGACAGTGCCTTTTTTGGGCCAATCAAACTTTGAGTCCTCATTTGCATGAGGACAGACCAATCAGGGACTAAGGGCAGAAACTTCCGCCCCTGTAAGCCAGCTCTGAGAAGGCGCTCTGCCTTTCCACTGAGGACGAGTCTCCCTGGCTGAGCTGCGACGCAGAAGAGGCCTCACTCACTGGAGTGGAGAGGAGCAGACCAGCACAGGCCAGAGCAGGCTGGAGCAAAGTGGAGCCGGCCAGCACCCCAGGGAGCAGCGCATCAAGGAGCAGAGCGGAGCTGTCCAGCCGGGGAGGGGCCTGGCTCCGGGGCTGCCTCACAGTTATGCCGTTTCCACAGCCGTGCTGTATCATAACTGAGCTGTGTGCGCTGAATAAAGCCTCCTTCTTCACCACACCCGACACTGGGGGCTCCTGTTGCTGTTGAAATGGTGCCAACAACCATCAGTTGACAGTTGACGGTGCTCTGCAGAGAACAGGGTCTGAGACACGGGGGGCTAAAGGGAGGTCTTTAGGAGGGGACCTGAGTTGAGCCCTCGGTGACTTGAAGTCAGGATGGACTAGGTCAGTGGTCGGCAAACTGCGGCCCCTTGAGTGTGGCTCTCCCACAAAATACCACGTGCGGGCACGCACGTACAGTGCGATTGAAACTTCGTGGCCACACTCAAGGGGCCAAAGAGCCGCATGTGGCTCGCAAGCCGCGGTTTGCCGACCACTGGACTAGGTGAAGCGCAACCTGAGCAGAGCGTAGAGCAGGCACAAAGGCCCTGAGGCACCAGAGGTTGGCGTGTTCGCAGAAAGACCAGCCACAGCAGCGAACCAGGGACAGTGGTGGGAGGAAGGCCAGGCACAACCTGGGATGGAGTGAGGAATGTATATTTGGCTTAAATGAACATTAGCCCCACCCCCTGAGAAACATGGCCCCATAGACACCCGTCTCTCTTTCATCTCCCCAATCCCAAAAGGTAACCCGCCCACAAGCAGGAGCCAATGAGAGGGCGGGAGCCCCTGGAAGTCCTCCAATAGGGCCCCCTCTCACCTTGCGGAAGTGGAGGACCGAGGTTCCCCCTGACAGCAGCGCTGGTTAGCGTCCTCTTTGCTGGTACTCTCGCCTGGGAATAAAGGCACTCCCACCAGGAATGAGTTATTTGCACAGAGGAATAGCTCTTGGAGTTTCTTTGACAAAAGACTTTTTAAAAACCCCTTTGAAATCTGGTCCTTGGCCTCCCAAGCCCTGGTCTCCAAATTAGGCAGGACACCCCGAGGCTCTTTGGGGCATAAAGCCCTAGACCCCTTCTCTGCTTTCTGTGTCCTCTTTATCCTGCCCGTGCCTTCGTTTTCTCATTTGTAAGCAGAAAGGATAATAAAACCTGCGTCGGGAGTTTTCCCGAAGATAGTCTCCATACCATGGTCTTCGCCATGTCTCGGATTTACTCCAGCCTGGCTGGGGCACAGGTGACAAGAATTAAAGGTACAAACAGCTGAGAAATCTAGAATCCTCCGCCCTGGCCACTGCTCCAGGCTTTCTCTGAACTTCCCTGTGAGTCTCTGCGGGCTGCCACTTCCGCTGCCACTGCCTTGGTTAAGCCTGACAGGGGAGCCCCCAGGTTCTGCCCCCCCCCCCCCCCCCGGCTTATGCCTGCCCACCAGGCCTGGGATTCACTCCTTCATTCAAATGTTACTCCCTGGCAGGCAATTGTTAAACCAAAAATACATGTCTCAAGTTATGAGCATGGATGAAAGTTTTATTTTAAATTTACAGGAAGAAAATCAGAAATAAAAAAGAGAACTTGGGTTCCGTGAACGACCTCAGGAAGCGGTCTTACAGGAAGACAGCGGAGTGTGCGGACGGCGCTGTCCAACAGACCTTTCTATGGAGGAAAAGGTCCAACACGGAGGCCGCCGGCCACGCTGGGCGAGGGGGCATTCGGACCGTGGCTGTGCGGCTGAGGAGGGATTTTTAAATGGGTTGTATTAACCTGTACGTTGAAAGAGCCCCCTGTGGCTGGCGGGGCCGGTATTGGACAGAGCAGGGCTGGTAGGTCATTTCAGTCCGCGCACAACTCAGCTGTCTCCGCCTGGAGGGAGGCGCAGACCCAGAGGGACGGAGGGAGAGAGAAGAGGGACAGCCGAGTGCACCAGGTGGGACTCAGGAGTCACGAGGGCGGGGTCAGAGGATGGGGTGCGCCCAGCTCAGGCCCTCCCCCTCCCCACCCCCACCCCCTACTCCCCCAACCCCCGCCCCCGCGGAGCCGGAAGGAGGCGGTGGGTGAGGCCCCGGCCACGCTGGCTGCGGAGTTTCCCAGCGCCCCCTGGAGGCGGGCCCGGAGGTGGCGCGGCCCAGGGGGGCGGGGCGGGGCGGGGGTAGGGGCGGGCCTGAGGCTCAAGCTGACCCCGGGAGGCCTCCAGAGCCCTGGATTTCGGGGTCCCCATGGCCCGACTCGCACGCCCTCAGCCTCGATTTTACAAAGATTTTTCCTGGGAGGTGGCGTACTTTGGTTTTGTTTCTTTTTTTTTAATATAAAACCTACTTCTTGCTTTTTTCTCATTACTAAATTGGCTTAGATTCAGAGAAAACCTGAAGGTATAAATAGGAAAGAGAAAACCACCGGAAATCCCATCCCCGGCCCCAGCACCCGGCACCATGTGGGCGTCACAAATGACTGTTTCTGAAGATGTATCTCTGTGTACATCCGGTAGAATAGCCTCTGGCACATGATTTTCTTATAAACGGTATTAATTTAAAAAAAAAAAAAAAAAGCAAGGGAGGCATGACCTCAGCGGCCGCTCACAGCAGCGGAGGCCGCGGGTGGGACTTGCCCGTGATGCACCCTGACTCCTACCCGCCCCTCCCCCCATGGCCTTACACCCCTTTTTTTCGATGAGAACAGACACTGAGAGAAGCAAGGCTCTGCCTCGTCCTGCCTCCGTTTGAACCTGCCTTTGCCCGCGGGGCGGTGTGGCCATGGGCAGGTGGGTGTCCACTCTGGCCTCAGTTTCTCCCCATCACACGCAGAGAAGAGACGTCCCTGCAGCCACAGTGGGGGGTGAGGACAGATGCCACGAGGGGCGACGGCCAGGCGGTGCCCGTGCTCTTGTGGTTAACTGGCCCGAGGCACCTGACAGCAGCAGGACCTGCCAGGCTCCCTCAGAACCCCACCCTTTCCCACCGCATCCGTAGGCAGCTGGCCCGGGAGAGAGGCGGGCTTGGCGGGCTTGGCTGGAGGCCAGCTCCTTGGCCCCTGCTGCCCCCTCGTGGCCCACTCTGGCCCCAGCGCCTGCCTCTGTTCCAGTAAGTCCAAATCCAGGTCCTGTCCCAGGGCGCCCCAAGCCCAGAAAACTAGGCCTGGCATCCCCACCCATGCGACCCACCCTCTCTTTGGTCTCTGCGTTTTCCCCACCCGCTCCAGCACCTGGCGAAGGGGCTTAGCTGACATGCATTGGGAGCTCCCGGTGCTCCAAGGACCTGCTGTGTGACCAGGGGCCAGTCATCTAACCTCTCTGTGCTTACTTCCTCATGGCAATAGAGTAACAAAGCAGGAGAAAGCAAAGCAGGGAAATCTCAGGATTGAATAAAAAGCAAAATTAAGAGACATACTTGTTTTACATTGGTAGGTACAAAATGGTTACATTTAACATTTACAGTAAATGGAGGTGGTATATGCACAACAAGATAAAATGAATGTTGGCTCATGAGGGCAGTTGCATCTCTGAGACAAAGATTACTACTCTGGCCTATCCCAGGTGGGTTCACCTAGACCCATGGTTGGCAAACTGTGGTTCGCGAGTCACATGCGGCTCTTTGGCCCCTTGAGTGTGGCTCTTCCTAAGCTTGGCTCTCAAAAGAAATTTCAATCATTGTACTGTTGATATTTGGCTCTGTTGACTAATGAGTTTGCCGACCACTGACCTAGACACACAAGAACCATGGACAGGGCTTACTTAAGGCAAAGGTGAACCTTTTACTAAGGGTGCCATAGGCCTGGGGTGTCACTATCCACCATGACCTTCCCAGTTACAGATGTCTAATCAGATCACCCCGGGCCTTTAATTTCAGTCACTGAGCTTGTCAGGCCTGCCACGGAGCCCCCTAAGCTTGGCAGGCTTGCTCCACAGCCCCTTTTTCACTCACAGCAGAGACACGGGGAGGTGCCCAATGCCCCGATGAAAAGCTAAACCCAAGAAAGTAGTTGGGCAGCCTTGCTTGCGTGTCTGTATAATGAACACAGAAAAGCTACAGCAGGATGGTAGGGCCAAAAGCAGTGACTGCCTCGCCATGTCCCAGAGGGGCTCACCACCTCCCCCATTGCCCAGGGGGGCTCACCACCTCCCCCGTCTCCCAGGGGGGCTCACCATCTCCCCTATCTCGGGGGAGGGCTCACCACCTCCCCCATCTCACAGAGGGGGCTCACCACCTCCCCCATCCCCCAGAGGGGGCTCACCACCTCCCCCGTCCCCCAGAGGGGGCTCACCAACTCCCCCGGCTCCCAGAGGGGGCTCACCACCTCCCCCGGCTCCCAGAGGGGGCTCACCACCTCCCCCATCTCCCAGAGGGGGCTCACCACCTCCCCCGTCCCCCAGAGGGGGCTCACCAACTCCCCCGGCTCCCAGAGGGGGCTCACCACCTCCCCCGGCTCCCAGAGGGGGCTCACCACCTCCCCCCTCTCCCAGAGGGGGCTCACCACCTCCCCCGTCCCCCAGAGGGGGCTCACCACCTCCCCCATCTCCCAGAGGGGGCTCACCACCTCCCCCGTCCCCCAGAGGGGGCTCACCACCTCCCCCGTCCCCCAGAGGGGGCTCACCAACTCCCCCGGCTCCCAGGAAAGACAAGGCTCTTGATTTCATCAGATTCAAAACACTCCACACCTGACTGCTTTCAAATATCCTTTATCACTCTTACTGTAAACATTAACATGCGTTATCATCCCAATATAACCTTGAAAGTTTTCTTTAAATTGCATGGGATTTGGTCACAAACACTGTGGGTGCCAGTTAGCGCTTCGTGCAGGCAGGGGGTGCAGCTTCCTGTTGGCTGAACTGCTCTTGAGGACAGAGACAGAGCCGCTGCCTGGCCCATGTGGACCCTCCGACTATAAGTGCTCCCTTAGCGTGGACGCCTCAGCGGGCTCCAGAGAAGACCAGGCAGACTGCACTTGCCACCCGATTGTAGAGTTTGAATCTGCAGATGGCAGAGCAGAGCCCAACCCGTCGTCAGATGATACGAGACAGGCTCTGTGCCAGTTCAGAGGCACCTGAGCCTCCACTGAAGAATGTGCTGGGCCAGCCTCTGTAACAAGCTGTGTTTTGATTAAGTGGTGGCTTGAGAGAGAGAGTAAAGGGGAGAGAGATGGAGATGGAGATGGAGATGGAGGTGGAGAGAGAGAGAGAGAGAGAGAGGAAGAGAGATGGAGATGGAGATAGAGATAGCAGTAGAGATGGAGCTAGAGATGGAGGGAGAGATGGAGATGGAGAGAGAGATGGAAAGAGAGGGAGAGGGAGAGGGAGAGGGAGAGAGAGATGGAGATGGAGAGAGAGATGGAGAGAGAGGGAGAGAGAGAGAGAAATGGAGGTAGAGATGGAGGTGGAGATGGGGATGGAGAGAAAGAGAGAGAGAGAGAGATGTGAGCAGCATCAATCCACTGCCTCCTGCACACCGCCTACCGGGGATCGAACCTGCAACCTGGGCATGTGCCCTGACTGGGAACCCAACAGGTAACCTTTTGATGCAGGGGATGACACTCCAATCTACTGAGCCACCCGGCCAGGACCATCTAGTACTTTTGTTTTTTAATGTTATTCCATCATATTTTCACATTTTTATTTCAGTGACTAACTATTTTTTTAATATATTTTATTGATTTTTTGCAGAGAGGAAGGGAGAGGGATAGAGAGTTAGAAACATCGATGAGAGAGAAACATGGATCAGCTGCCCCTGCATACCCTCTACTGGGGATGTGCCCGAAACCAAGGTACATGCCCTTGACCGGAATCGAACCTGGGACCCTTCAGTCTGCAGGCCGACGCTCTATCCACTGAGCCAAACCGGTTAGGGTGATCTAGTTCATTTTACATTAGTTCCTTCGTCTCTCTGCTCCACCCATGCACAGTAGTCCAGGCCTTTTTGCAAAGATGTTACTAACTATTGACCCACCTAAGCAGGCCCTGGATCCCCATTAGTGGGCAAGATTACCTGGGGACGGAGGGGGGGGGGGGGGGGGCGGGGGGCGGGCAGGGAGGCCCTGGCCTCCTCCCAAGCCACCGACCAGACTTCAGAGGAGCTCGCTTCCTGCTTCCCTGGAAGGCCGCTGTTCTCCGCTGGGCCTGGGGCCTCCTCACACCCCAAGATTGGAAGGGTGGTTGGGGGCACTGAGCTAGTTCCCTTTGGACCTTGAACCAGGCTACTGAGACCCAAGAGCCAAACGCCAGAGGTGGGAGGGCACAGATCCGGAATGAAGGCTTGCTGTTAGTGGGGATGAGAACAAACCCCTCAGCTCCGGACCTCTCCCGCTTTGGAGACACGCACAGCCTCTGAATGATGCATCCCGCCTCCTGGTCCCGCCCCTCCCGCCAGCCGCGCTCCACCCCATCCCCACCCCGCCGGCGCCCCCCCTTAGCCCTCCCCTGCGCCAGTGGCTTTCCTTAGACCTTGCACAGCCAGCCGGTCCCTCCTCGTTCTAGCAGCTTCGTTACGGTTTGTAAAACCCGTGAGCCTGGGCTGGCCCTGGTTCCACCCTAGAGCCCTAGAATGAGGAAGCTTAGGGTTTGGGGTCAAAGAGAAAGGGTGTCTGGTCCGGGGAATGACCTACCGGGGAAGGGTGGGGCTGCAGGGAAGGGGCGGGAATATCTGCCTCCAATCCCGGGCTGAGGAAGGACGGAGCCAAAGGTTCCCCCTCTGAAAAGCAAGGGGCATATTCAGCACTTCCCAAGATCCCCTCCAACTCTAAGTGGCAGCAAGACTCTAGGGAAGGATTGTGAGGTCTTTAGGGCAGAAGATGCTGGAACTTGGCTCGAGCTGGGATTAAGGGCAGGAGAATGGGCAGGTGAGGCGGGTGGACTCTTGCTTGATTCCATCTAGCACCCGATGGACTAGACGGGGAGGCCTCCAGCCGCTGTCTCCCAGGCAAGCCCGTCACAAGGCCACAACTTCCGGAGAATTCCTATCTCCCTCTCTCTCCAACCACCCCTCCCCCAGCACTTTCCCTTTAGAGTCTGTCTCCCTGGCCCCTCTTTTAGGTGATTTTAGTACTTGCCGGCGGTGACTTGGTTAAATCGCCAAGAGCATATCTAGGAAGAGGGACTGAAGGAAAAGAGACCACCTGTTTCCACCAGTCAAGGACAGACCACGGAAGGAGACCCGGGGAGACCAGCAAAGCCAGGGTCGTCTTTATTGAGGTGTCCAGGTAGAGGAACACCCAGGAGCAGACCTGAGCACTGAAGAGCGCGAGGCAGGAGCAAGGGCTCCCTGGCGACGCAGGCCTCGGTCTCGGGGCTGGGAGGAAGGCAGTGGGTGGCGTGGGTGCTCACAAGGACTTCAGGAAGGCCCTGTATTTGGCCAGGAAAGGGACGGACAGAGTGTTCAGCTCTTGCCGCAGCTCCTCCAGGGCCCGGTCCCGCTCTTGCTGCTCTCCCGTCATCTGCTGCTTATAGTAGTTGATGTAGAAGTTCACCCAGTCGTCCACCATAGTCACCATGGCTTCCTCAGAGACAGGAGGGTCACTGAAGACCTGGGGGTGGGGGTGGGGGTGGAGAGAACGGTCAGCGATGGAGTCAGGATCAGCCCTCAAACCCTGACATCCTCTCTTCTCGGATTTGCATTCCCTGTCTCTGGTGGTTTCCACCGACTCCGCTGCTACTCTCCCAGCTCTAAATCATTCTCCTGCCCTGCCCTCCCCCACCCCTCAGCACCCCAGGCCTGTCCTTTGACACAATACTTGGGGGTACCTGCTGATTCAGTAGAGCATTAAATTCCTTCATGCCTATGGAAATGAGATCTTTATTAGCCTGAAGGAGCGCCATCTGCCTGTTTAGAGAAAGACATTGTAAGTATCCTTTTCCCGCACCCCTGGGCATTTCCCCCAAGCCCCTCGCTTCTCCCAAAGGCTCCTGGTGCCCTGCAGGGTCGCCTCCGCTCCCGTACCTTTCAAATCCTGCCCTGCTCTGAAGTCCCGTTTCTCCCGGGTTGGCTCACTTGAGGTCCAGCCGTGCTCTTATGTGTCAGCCACACTTTCAGGCTACGTGTGTGTGTCGCTCTGCGCCAAGCTAGGTGCAGGCAAGGAGTCCAGTGTCAGCCTAAGAGGGAACCGCCCCGCATCGAGACCCTGAGGGCGGGTGATAGGTCAGCCCGGGGAGGGGAAGGAGGGCGAGGCTCCCCTGAAGTTAGAAAGATAGCAAGGCCACAGAAGCAGATAAGGGAGACCCAGAAAACCACGCCAGGGCCAGGGCCTTGCCTGCCGCCCACATCCCAGCGTCCAGGCTCCGAATGCTAACAACACTAACAGCCACTGACCGTCACCCTGTTACGGGGCAGGCCTTTCACATCATCGCGGCAACGTGACGGCAGTTTTCTCCTGATTCATAGATGATACGTGAACAGCAGCTCACGTTATATCTCTCCCTGTTCCAGGCACTGTTTCCAGCATCTGCTAAGGTTTGCCCTGATGTAGGCAGCTTTCAGTCATGTCACCGTGGGCAGGTGAGCCGCTGGACTCCGCCAGGCTGTGCTCTGTGAGAATGGAGACACAGTTGTCTTGTTGTCTAGCATGTCGCTAGGTGCTCAAAGTAGAAGTACTCTCTTCATCTATTTAAATATTTTCCATTTTTACTAGCCCTTTTCAAATTTCCAGCCACCACATACTCCTTGAGATTAAGTGGAACATTACCAAAATGTACCCTGAAAAAGGTGATTATTTTTGCTCCCTCCCTCTACAAAGTAACCAGCATTAAAGACACGTGTATTTCCTGTGACGTCTTGCTGCCTTCAAAACCCAACGTTCATACTTCCTAGGTACCTACACTCTCAGAGACATTTGTCGATTTTCTTTTTTGTTTACAGCATTTTCTTTTAACATTCAGCAAAATTGACCTCTTTTTGGTGTGCAATTTATGAATTTTAATACATACGTTCATGTCACTACTACCATAGTCAGGACATAGAACATTTCCTTCACCCCCAAAAACTCCCTCATGACACCCCTTTGTAGTCACCTCCAGGCCCACCCCTAAAGCCTGCCAAGCACTGATGTGTGCTCCTGTGTTTTTGAGGTCACCCTATGATGGAATTGCATGGTCTGTAACCTTTAAGCCTGGCTTCTTCCTCTCAGAATAATGCCTTCAAGATTCATCCAAGTCGTTGCAAGTAGCAGTAAGTTGTCCCTTTCCGCTGCGGAGGATGTCGCCCGGACACACTGCAGTTCCTGTGCACCCGCTGACAGCTGGACAGTGTGCAGCTTGGGGCGAGCATGAGCGCGGCCGCTGTGAATATCTGCGTACAGATTGTTGTGCCAATACGTGTTCCTTTATCGAGGGTGCAAACTATTGTTGCCACTAGGAGAAATAGTTGCAATGCAACCTGACAAAGCTTTTTAGAGGAATAATTTGACAACACTTGTTCCAATTAAAATATGCATACCTTTCAACCCCATGATTCTGCCTTGGCCTCTATTTTAAAGAAATGTTCATATTCAGTGCACAATAAGGCCTGTGCAAGGACTTTACCAGACAAGGAATTCGCCATCTGTGATCATGAAAAGACAGAATCAACCTGAAGGTCCTTTACTATGGGGAATCTAAAGAAATGATGGCACATTCATACTAAGACATGACATACCACTATTAAATGAGGTAGATAACTATGTGCTGATATGAAAAGATCTCTAAGGCAATGTTAAGTGAACTATAAATAGTGCAGGCTGTCCCAGGCTCCAAGTATGGGAGTGGGAGTGGGATTAAATATAAAACTCTCTCTCTCTCTCTCTCTCTCTCTCTCTCTCTCTCTCTCTCTCTCCCTCTCCCGCTCACTGTCTCTTTCCTCCTCTCTCCCTCCCTCTCTCCCTCTCTCTTTCCCTCCTCTCTCCCTCCCTCTCTCCCTCTCTCTTTCCCTCCTTCTCTCTCTCTCTCTCTCTCTCTTTCTCTCTCTCTCTTCCTCCCTTCCTCATTCCCTCCTTCTTTCTCTCTTCCTCTCTCCCCTTCTCTCTCTCTGCCCCTCCCCGCCGTGTGTGTGTATGTGTGTGTGTGTGTAGAATGATAAACAATATCTACTTCTGGGGCTTGATGGGCATTTGTTGGGAAATGTACAGAGGGATTAATGTCAGGGCGAATTTGACCTTATCCCTCTTACCTCTATATTGCTGTTTGAATTATTTTACAGCATGAATGTATCCTATTATTTTTTGTAATTTTTAAAAAGAAAAAAAATAGTGTAGTTCTGAAATCATTAGCCTCAGATTTAAATCATGCCTCAGTGCCTACAAGAGTCGCAGCTGCTCCTTAAATCTTTGTTGAATGAGTAAATGAATGAATGCGTTGCCATTTTCAGTTCTGTAACTTCAAGTCACTTCATATATGTAAGCCTGCGTTTTGTCTGTAAAGGAGGAATAAAATAATAACTGCCTTACAAAGGCTATTGGGGAAATAAATACTATTCCACCAATAGTATCGGGCACCTACCTTTGTGCCAGGCGCTGGTGCCAGGCCCTGGGAATACACCACTGCCAAACACAGTGCCCTTCCCCCTCTCAACGCCAGGCACACGCTCCTATGTCCTGGTCGGGGAGTGAGAGGGTGAGAGGCCAAGTCTGAGAGGGGGGCAGGGCCATCCACAGAGCCTTGCGGGCCACAACAAAGAGTTTGTGTTTTATTTCCAAGTGTGAAGAAAAGCCATTGAAAATAATGGCTCCGGCGGGAAGGGGAAGCGGCGGGGTAGGACCAGATAATTCCCATTTCACAGATGAAGAAACTGAAGGACAGGAAGAAATTTGCCCGAGATCTCACCGATATTAAGTGACCAGGGATTCAAACTGAGGCCCTCTGATGGGATTCAGTCACAGAGGTGGGCCTCAGAGTTCCGTACACTCACAGGAGCTAAGTTTTAAAACATTACAGGTTTGTAACCCTTCCATTGTTCACTCCAAGGAGCAACCCAAAGTTTACAAAAGGAAAAACGAAGTCCCCGGGTCTCTCGGGGCCCCAGAGAGACTCTGTGTAGTTCTGAGAGAAGGTGAGGGGGTGGCAGGCTGGCCAGGATGAGGTCCCAGGCGAAGATGATAGTTTGGGAGAATCAGAAGTTTTAAGCAGGGAGTCTAACTGGGAGTGGGTGGGTGTCCAAGAAGGTCAGCATGGGGGCGGAACAAACTCTCCTGTCTCCTCAAGGTTCTCCTGCTGGTCTAATCACCAAATAGACATGAAACAGGTTAGCAAGAGGAAATAACCAAATCTAATACATTTATAGGAGTGGAAACCCCACATACATGAGAGGTTCAGAGACCCCCACATGCATTAGAAGTTCAGACATAGGAAGAGGGATCATTATATGACATTCTGAGGGAGGGATGAGAGAAGGTGCCTTGGGACTTCATAGGTCATTGCAGGATGATAAGAGCAGATGTTTATTAAGTAACAGTTTTCCCTGCCATATAGTTAGGTCAAAAAGCTTATTGCTAATCACCTCTTATTATGGACAAGGCCCCCAATTCAAGATCTAGGTCAGTGATGGCGAACCTATGACATGAGTGTCAGAGGTGACACGTGAACTCATTTTTTTGGTTGCTTTTTCTTTGTTAAATGGCATTTAAATATATAAAATAAATATCAAAAATATGTCTTTGTTTTACTATGGTTGCAAAGATCAAAAAATTTCTATATGTGACACGGCACCAGAGTTAAGTTAGGGTTTTTCAAAATGCTGGCACGCCGGGCTCAAAGGTTCGCCATCACTGATCTAGGTAGTTAAGGGAGGGGCAGAAGGTCTCTTGAGCCTGAAGCTAAAGTTGCCTTTAGCTCAAAACAATCCACACACCACAGAAGCACATCTTTGGGTGACTCCTTTGGAACCCCCACACCAGGCTAAGGAACCAGGGTACTTTTCTGATAACAAGAGGGTGCTTTGGGCACATTTCTATGTTGGAGTCAGTACATTGCACTGAATGGGGAGGAGGAAGAAGGAAGGGAGAAGGGGAAAGAGGGGAAAAGGTGAGTTGGGAGAGAAACACTGTCTTTAGACTCTCCCCCAATAAACACACAAGAACTTTTTGCCTATTTCTCTTGTTTTCTGACACTATTCTGCAATCCTTTGATTTTCTCATTTCTCAGATGTCCCGGGGATTCTTCCAGAAACAATACTCTCCCCGCCTTGGGAAGCTGAAGGGCAGAGAATTTCTAGTGGAGGGCCAGAGCAGCGACAGAAGAAAAACAACAAACAAAAAGGGAAGTTTAACGGGGCCTCCTCGGGATCATCTGGTCCAGCTTCGCACCATGCATGCATTCACTTATAAGTATCTTTTAAGCACCCACTATGCGCTAGTTACTGGGGATCAAACAGGAGTAAAATGTAGCCCCCTGGCCTCACAACAAAGAAGGCACCTGAGGCCCAGAGGCACTGAGATGCCCAGAGTCACACAGTGAAAAACTCATGGCCGCCCTGGCTGGTGCGGCTCAGTTGGTTGGGCATCATCCCTTGCACCAAAAGGTTGCTGGTTCTATTACCAGTCAGGGCACACACCCTGGTTGTGGGCTTGACCAGTTAGGGGGCGTGCAGGAGGCATGTTCCGCTCCCACACGGATGTTCTCTTTCTCCCTCGCCCTCCTCTCTCTCAATAAAAAGGTATTTTTAAATAATAAAAACTAAAAATTCTGCCCGGCTGGGGTGGCTCAGTGGTTGGGCATGGACCCATGAACCAGGAGGTCAGGGTTGGTTCAGGTCAGGGCACGTGCCCGGGGTTGCGGGCTCGATCCCCGGTAGGGGGCCTGCAGTAGGCGGCAGATGGATGCTTCTCATCATGGATGTTTCTCTCTTTCTCCCTCTCCCTTCATCTCTCTGAAAATCAATAAAGACATTTTTATTTTAGAAAATATTCTGTGGCCCTCGCTGGTTTGGCTCAGTGGATGGCGCCTCTGCCTGCGGACTGAAGGGGCCCAGGTTCAATTCCGGCCAAGGGCACATGCCCAGGCCGTGGGCTCCATCCCCAGTGGGGGGTGTGCAGGAGGCAGCCATCAATGATTCTCTCTCATCATTGATGTTTCTCTCTCTCCCTCTCCCTTCCTTTCCTCTCTGAAATCAATAAAAATATATTTAAAATTAAAAATAAAAATTATGTGGCCACAGCAGGTCTGGAACGCGGCGGTTCCAGATGTTCTCCCCCCACCCCCCACGCCACCCCCCACCCCGTAACTGGAAGTAGCGGGTCTCAGGGATGCGGGTCCCTCCAGGACTCCTCGGGCCGGGGTCCCGTCGCTCCCGCGGCCCAGCTGCAGAGAACAGGGCGGCACCAGACCGGGAGGGGCGGCGGGAGGCGGGGCCGCGAGGCCGGCAGGAATCGCCACGTGGCGGGCTCCACCCAGGCGCCCGCGGAGCCCCGCGGCCCCTCGCGGAGGAAGATTGTCCCTCCGCCGCCGCCGTAGCCGACCGGGCGCAGGCTCCGCCCACGTGCCCGTCCCGCGGGGCGGAGGGGCGTGACCGGGATGGCGGGCCGGGCGGGTGTTGGGGCTGCGCTGTGCTCCGAGCGGTTCGGCTCCCAGGCGGCCCGGGGCTGCAGCGCCGCCGCCGACGGGAGCCTGCGGTGGGAGGCCTGGGGGCGGCGCTGGTGGGGGGGCGCGGGGGGAGCTCCGGGGTCCGCCGCACCCCCTCTCCCGCGCCTGCTGAGCGTGTTCCTGCCGCAGGGCTTCCCCGACAGCGTCAGCCCGGACTACCTGCCCTACCAGCTGTGGGACTCCGTGCAGGTCAGCGCCGGGCAGCGGCGGGCTGGGCAGGCTCGGCGGAGCTGTGACAGGTCCCAGGTGCGCCCCAAGGAGAGCTGCTCGCCCTCCCGCCCCCGAGCCCACGCCTCGCCCTCTCCTCCATTCTCCAGGCCTTTGCTTCCAGCCTCTCGGGCTCCCTGGCGACCCACGCCGTCCTGCTGGGCATAGGGGTGGGAAATGCCAGCGCCTCCGTGTCGGCCGCCACGGCCACTTGGCTGCTGAAAGGTAAGCTGGCCCCTGGAGCCTGACCCGCCGCTGCTCTCAGCCCCGCCGCCTGTGGCCTCTTTTTCCTCCACCGAGAAGCCCAGCTCCCTCTCCCCGTCTCCCACGTTCTGGCCTCCAGCCCCGGGCTGTGCTGGGTGTATTCCTAGAGCCATGCCTGAGTAGGTCCGGGAGCCACGTCTCCCCGGTGCCTAGAACAGGGTCTTGCGTCCTGCTAAAGAAAGAACAAAATTCAGCTGAGTAAATGTTATAGATCTTCATCGGCTTTATTCAGTGACTAGTGGTCCAGTGCACAAAATCTGTGCATTGCACAGGGTCGGTGTTCCTCAGCCTGGCCTGCACCCTCTGGGATCTGGGAACCCTCGGGGGATGTCTGACTGCCGGTTTAGGCCTGATCCCTCTTGCAATCCAGGACCGCTGGCTCCTAACTGCTTGCCTGCCTGCCTGATCACCCCTAACCACTCTACCTGCTGGCCTGCTCACTCCTAACTACCTCTGCCTCTGCCCCACCACTATGGCTTTGTCTGGAAGGTCTAATTAGCATATTACCAGGGTGCTTAGCAGTCTCCCTCAAGTGCAGGAGTAGGTAAAAGGCCTCAGTCTGGGGGTACCGCTGGCTAAGAACCAGCATACTAGTATACTCCTCAAACACCTGCCTATGACCTCAGGAAATACAAATCTGGGACTTGAGCAGCGGCCCCATGGCCGACTGCACCTTTAATCTCTCGCTAGTCATGCCGC